TTTTTTGTGTGTTTTGGAAGCTTCTCGATAAAGTTTCCATAGGCTGATGAAAAACAAAAATTGAACTACCCCTTGACCTGCTGGTGGCATATACATGCACTTGTCCCAGGTGATGTTCACTTGCTTAGTAATGCAGCAGTTGATGCCGAGTTGATTGAAAGATTTGAACGAAAACTTGAGCACATTCGTTAGTAGTGGAGGAGCCTCATCTGGGAATTCGCCTCATTTCACGTTGAAATGGATTTATCTACTGATATTGCGTGGCTCTCAAAAAGAATAGCACTTCTCAATAGCTCTACAACTCAAGAATCCAGTGCAGATTTTTTACATCATCAAACATATTTAGATGACAATAATGCTTCAACACCAACTGCTGCTCCAAGAGCACATGGTTTCACTTTCACAGATCAAGATGATGAGACAGAGATAGAATTGGTAAGAAAACAGATGAGCGGCGGAGAAGAAAAATCAGTCGACTCAAGCAGAACCGCTCGTTTTTTATGGCAAGAAAGTTTACGAGGCTTGAAAGATGCTAACAAGGTTCATCATCACAAAAAGGGAACAAGGAGACTCGTTTCAGATGGTAGTCGAATTCAGCATCTGGAACGTAGAATAAGAGTTCTTGAAGGTGAACTCATGGAGGCAGCTGCCATAGAGTTCAGCCTTTACTCTGTGGCTGCACAACATGGAAGTTCCATGAGTAAAGTTCATGCACCAGCTAGACGCCTCTCGAGGTTCTATTTCACTACTGCTAACCAACACAACTCCATATCTGCAGTAGCTAACCAACACAACTCCATATCTGCAGCTAAAAGTATTGTATCTGGATTGGTTTTAGTTGCAAAAGCATGTGGCAATGATGTTCCTAGGTAAGTGTTTTATATGTTCAACAGTAATTTGTAAATTTTGCATATCCTTACAAACATAGACTTTTGCATGATACAGATTAACTTTCTGGCTTTCAAACTCAATGGTGCTAAGAGTTATTGTGAACCGTTCTTCCGGGGACAGTCTTAAATCAACGGTGGGTGCAAGGAATGGAAAGAAAGAATGTTCATTGCCTCTTAAACGGGAGTCTAAGAGTAGCAGAGACCCTCCGACGCTCGGTGACAGGGATGGCCCTCAAATGTTTGCAGCTTCACTTGAAAGTTTCGAAGCGTGGATATTTTCCCGAATCATCGAGTCTTTGTGGTGGCAGGTCTTTCTTTAATCCTTTTCATACTTTTTCAGTATTGTAACCTCTATAATTGAAATTGTTTTTGGTACAATATGCAAACCACCCGCAAAGCTAAAATGTTGAATTGTGTGTTATTTCGGTAGATTTTTATTCCGCATATGCAGTCTGGTGCTGCTAAAGCAATTCGCGTGAGTATGGATTCTCAGTCACGCAAGTTATGCAAAAGGACATCGTTTGGTTCGGTCGATCATCAGCAAGGTAATTTTTCTGTGCAACTCTGGAAAAAGGCTTTCCAGGATGCATTTGAAAGATTATGCACTGCTCGAGCTGAAGGGCACGATTGTGGTTGTTTACCTGTGATCTCTAAACTGGTATATACTAAGAGAAGCATCAATAAAAAACTTCTTTTCATTTACAGTATTTTAGTAACGGTCATAGTTTGATATCCAAGATTTTTTTTTTTTTTTTCTTTTTTTTTTAATTCCATTGATAATGAGAAATTCTTATAATAACTAGATAATGGAGCAGCTGATTGGTAGGCTAGATGTGGCTATGTTTAATGCGATCCTTCGAGAATCGGCTGATGAAATTCCGACAGATCCTGTGGCAGACCCCATTAGTGATGCACAGGTTCTTCCTATTCCAGCAGGGACAGCTAGCTTTGGTGCCGGTGCACAATTAAAAAATGCGGTGAGCATTTCCAACTACATTAGCTCTTGCCTTTTGTACCTAAAACAATAAATGCACCTCACTATTTATGCATCTTAGACAGGGAGGGGTCTTCTTATCTTGTATTCTATTGTGGATAGTAAAATATCATTTAATCATGTTTTATATGTCAGATTGGAGATTGGTCTAGATGCCTTACAGATCTCTTCGACATGGATGATATGGATGGTGATACACCATCGAAGCCTTTTCGGATCCTCAATGCACTGAGTGATCTTATGATGCTTCCAAAGGATATGCTGCTGAGGAGAAGTATCAGAGAAGAGGTTCCCGCCTGAGCCTAATTTCTGTAATTTGAATTAACTTCCATTCGTAATCTGATTGAGGTTTCTGTTTTCTTTCCTTAGGTTTGTCCTTCATTTGGGCCTCGGCTGATATGGCGGATAGTTAAATCCTTCGTTCCGGATGAGTTTTGCTCAGACCCTATTCCTGGAGCTGTTCTTGAAGCTTTAAATGCAGAGGTTAAACCCATGCTCTGTTAGTCATTTTGCTTTTCTTTTCTGAATGACTGCTTTTACCAACATTGGATGCAACTATATGATGCTGACGACAATTTTTTTCTTTTTCTTATGAATCCACTCTTTAGGATTCTTTTGATTCTGAAGATGATTCCATGATGAGCTTCCCATGTGCTGTAGCAGCTGCTGTATACATGGCACCATCAGCTTCTGCTTTAGCCACTTCTATCTTTGGACAATTTGGCAGCCCTTCTAAGCTGAAACGTAGCAAATCCTCAGTTCTTGAGAAATCACAGACGAGCGATGATGAACTTGATCAACTTAATTCACCTCTGAAAGAAGTCTTTCGGTCATTGCCATCTTCTCGTGGAAATCGAAAAGCTGAGCGGTATAAACTCCTTCAGCAAGCATGGATGAATCGCGAGTGATGAGCCTTAATAATTGGTGGAGTACTGAATGAATTTTAAGAGCCTTACTTTTCTTGTCCGATGCACATGTTAATATTATTTGCTGCTACAATCATTCATTGCCTGAAAGAGAAATGCTACTCAATAACATTTCAAGAGGTGCCAGTTTGTTGGTTTTAAAGATGACAAATTCGATGCACATGTTAATATTATTTGCTGCTACAATCATTCATTGCCTGAAAGAGAAATGCTACTCAATAACATTTCAAGAGGTGCCAGTTTGTTGGGTAAGCAGGTTTGAAGATACTCGACCAAATCGAAAATAAAGAAAATAAAGAAGTACCTTGGAATTGATGACAAATTCGCAACGATAGCGTACAATTGTTGCCTCACGTCCTTGTGGGACTGATATGTCAAAGTAACATCAGTTGGTAAAACGTCAACACAAAACAGATTAATTAATAAAAATCATCACAACACAACATAAAATGCCTGACAATGTTTTTACACTCAGTTCAGCGACAAGCTATACTCGAAGTCTTCAACATAAAACAAAAGGATAATGAGAGTATCCTTTCATCACGAAAACAAAATTGGATATAAATATATATATGCACTACAAAAATTTCAAGATCAATATCTTGTGTTCCCTCCCACAACAGCAGTGAAGTGAACAAAATGAAGGAAAATAGAAATCATGGCGTCAACTTGTGTGGTGAAGTGACAACATTATTAGTATTCATGTGTGGCAGGTGCAATGCAGCCAAAAGGCCATTCCAGGGGTCCCCAGGTGCCCCACCCACCTGGAACTCCACAAGCTTCTTCTGTTGCTTATAGTATTCCTCCAGGGGCTTCCTCTGAACAAAACAACAATGTAGACATGACAATTTTATCTTTCTTTCAAGTAGAATGAACTTCAGAGGATATAAACGACAATAACAAAGGAGCCCTACTATACTATGTAGAATGAATGTTTTTGTTTATCATGTTATTGAAACATTTATACTAGTTTTCTATTGACACTAGTTTTCTATTAATAGTATGTTTTCATCATCAATGGTTCTGCTCATCAAAATGCTAACTTCTACAAGAATGTTTTTCTTTATCATATCATTCACAGAAGCTTTCTATAGATAGTATGTTTCCATCATGAACGATCCTATTCATTAGAATGCTAACTTGCACTATATCTTAACAACAACACAAGATTTATCTTTCCAGAAGGGATTCAGTGCTTCGTGTTTATACTCAGAGATGTCGTGTTTATACTCAGAGATGTCAAGGTACCTTCTCGGAAAACATGTGAAGTTTCTCCTTCCAGTTGGGATCTGAGTCAACACTCGAAGATTGACAAGGACCTGCATTTGGCTGAAGATTGAGATTGAGAGGAGAAGAATAAATTCCACCACCTAAAGTTTTCTTCATCACAGACTCCTCAGTGCACTTAAGATTCACCACCAAATCTATGTGGGCAATTTGGTCTAGTATTTCCTGTAAAAAAAAAAAAACACGAAAATTAAATTCTTGTCACGTCTCCGTGCAGTAAAACACTGTAAACCAACCAAAGGGGGTTAAGAGGAAAACGAAAAAGCACTCACAGCTTGCATCCTCGTTCGAGGGATCCCGTCCAAAATAAAGCCATTTTCACCTTCGCGGTAGCCTTCCTCTAGCCGCTTGGATAAAAGACCAAATATTATGTCCTCTGGAACTAACTTCCCTTGATTCACAGCAGCAGCAATCTGCTAACAACAAAGTACAAGTTAAACACATTTCATTTACTTAATCAGTTTGAACACTATTATAAAACAAAAGGAAATTCCTCTTCCTCACTACACTACAAATGAATCAAGGAAAGAAACAAAGAACACAGCAAGCACCCATCCATAGAGCACAAAGAAAACAGTCACGAGTTAATATCATTCATTATCACCCTTTGCATCAAGCTTCTTCATTTAAAATCTCCTTTCCACTCCCAACCATTATTCAATTCAGTATTATTGAAAAAAAAAAACAAAATATTGATTAAAATTCGTTTCCGAAGGCCGATGAAGCAAACCTTTTTGTAGAGAGGAGAATTAGGATTGAGTTCCTGTCGAACGAGAGAGCCCATGGAGATATGAGGAACGTCTAGAAGCTTGGCGAGCCGCTGGGCGTATACATGACGTATGACCGTTGGATCGCCCATTATCACCCACTGCACACTTCTCCCCGAACTGTCCCAGAACTCCGATTCCGCCATTTCTGCCCGTTTCATCTTCCCCTCCTCCTCCTCCTCCTCTTCCTCATCGTAATAATAGTAGTCCAGCTGAGCCGCCGCATTTGAGCCGTAGGCTCGACGCAGTCGAGAAGAGAGCCTGGCTGTCACCCCGAGCCGGCTGATCAGAGACATAGCGGCTTAGGAAGAGAGGTTAGGAATGGAAATGCGAGCGGCGGAGAGCGAGCGAAGGCAAAGGTTGGGGTTTAATAAAAGACGCTCTCTATTTTGTAGTTATTGACAAAATCAACCCTGCTTTTTTGTCGGTATCAGTCTCTAGCACAAGCATCGGCACTCGAGGGTATTTTGGGGACGAGAAAAAAAAAACTCGTGGATGGCTAATGGTGATACCACGCGTCCGCCTTCTCAGTCATCTTCCTCCTTTTGCCGTTTACATTTTGTACTAAAGCACCGACGAAATACTCAGTCCGCCGTTATCAACCAAATGATAGTGTCGCCCATCGGTAGCTTCCTTTTAGCTGGACTCCTCGTCCTCTCTCTGCCTTTGTTATCAGTGGATTCCCACAATCCCCAACAGAACTTAGGGTTTTGCGGCGAACAAGACGATACAGTCGTCCAGATGGCTACTCTCGGAGGCGTCCGCGACACCAAAGCTGACATCGACTCCCTTTCCCGCTTTGCTGTCGACGAGCACAATCGCAAACAGGTATATATTCAGCTGCCCTTGCAACTTTAATTCTCTTCGCTCTGATTGCCAGCGTTCCTCAGTTATGTTCTTACTTGACTGTTCTGAGGATAAATTTGATTTTCAATTAATAATATAGATTGAACAAACAACTTTGAATCGTCCTCTGTCGAAACACTTTTTAGCTGTCTTTAGATCTACATGGGATCATTTGGCTGATGTTCACGTTTTGCTATCATAATTGAACTTAAAACGAAAAAGGACAAATATAAACTCTTGTCTTTAGATCTACATGGGACCATTTGGCTGATGTTCACGTTTTGCTATCATATGATTGAACTTCAAACGAAAAAGGACAAATAGAAACTCCCAACATTCATTTTGCCTTCCAGAATGCACTGCTCGAGCTGGTCAGGGTTGTGAAGGCGGAAGAACAAGTGGTTGCAGGTACACTGCATCATCTTACACTCGAAGTGGTTGAGGCTGGGAAGAAGAAACTTTATGAGGCGAAAGTGTGGGTAAAACCCTGGATGGACTTTAAGGAACTACAAGAATTCAAGCATGTTGGAGATGTTCCTTCCTTTACTTCCTCGGATCTGGGTGTTAAGAAAGGTAGTGAACCACCTTGTTTAACAATTGCCTTACTCAGAAGTTTAGGTCATTCGAGTTTGAATTCATGAAACAATATGGAGTAAATGTGCCGTCTGTGAGTGGGTGCTTTTCTTCACCTTTACTATATAAAGACAGTCTATCTATTTAACTTATGATATATAGTGTCTACCCCTCTCCTTGATATGGTCAATATACTTGTGACCTAGCATATGTGTGCATTTATAATTGTTTAAAGTAGTTTTATTGTCTGTCCCAAAGGAGTATGTTGGATTTGGTTAAAGATGTTTTCAAAATTTACTGATCATCCAGCAGCTCGAATTGTGACTCATCATGGGAGTAGGAAATTTTGTTCACATAAGGCTTCGGATAGTACTAAGGTTTGGAGAAGGTAGTGGTGTAATTAACAGTTTGTCTTCCGGGAATAGCATGTTTGGTTGTGTATCATAAGTTCATTTGTTAACTTGGTTCAATTTAATAAAACATGTTATAACATATATCAATATCATTGTACCGTAACTTTCCTAACATAAAACAATTATTAATTTAGTGGGTCAATCCCATTCCATTCTTGATCAAAGTTTTTTGTTAAATATGGCGGGGTTATTCTGTTGACGATAAGCTTGACAATAAGTTTCATGGTTTATTCCTAACAGATGATTACTGCATTATATTTGTTTGAACTTCTAGTATGATAGATTGCATCAAAATGAAGATATCTGCTAAATACTATGCAAGTTTGTATCTTGCCTAAATTTACAATTGTGGTTCCATAAACTTGGGTTCATATCAGATGATCAAGTCTCGAGGTGGCGTTCTGTTCCAGTGCATGATCCTGTTGTTCAAGATGCTGCTCATCATGCTGTTACAACCATTCAGCAGAGATCTAACTCTTTATTTCCCTATGAACTTAGTGAGGTTATCCACGCGAATGCAGAGGCGAGTTTGACTTTATTTGTTTGGAAGAGTTCAAGTTAAAGCAATTTTTTGGTAACCATAATTGATGTGGATATTGTTTATCATGTCTATGAATTCACATAGGCCCATTTCTACATGATATGAATGCAATGTTGAGTTCCTCACAAAATGATTTTGTAGTGAATTTTTTTTTTTTGGATAGTAGAATTCTTATTATAAAATCATTCTTTTGGAAGAAAATCGTCTTGGTTACGGGGACATAGTTATTACTGCTATGTGTTTCATGTGTAATGTTAGACAAACTGAGGATTTTTTCAAGCAATGTGGGTGATTGAGCTGTGAGATTTTCAGTTAGAGCTTTTGACCTGTAATTAGCATTGTTATCTTGTTACTGTGATGGCTGCTATTTCTTTCTCAGGTTGAATGATGCCAGGTCCTATTCTTGATTTTTATGTTTATTAAAGTATGTCTTACTCTGTTATACTAAGACTTTTTTTTTT